TATTATGATGGCGCAAATTGAAAGCAGTTGTTCGAAGGCATTACTGCAATAGAACCCAATAGAAATAAAGCGACGACGATTGAGTAGAAGTGCTTACGTAAACATATTAGCTTTGTTCACATATTATATAAACTATGAGACTATCAAATCTCATAGAAATTACACAATTCCAACAGGTTATTGCATTAAAAAGAGAAGGGAATGTGAGGAATCAAAGGAACCGTGCCCAACACTACCATTAGATTAATTTACTTTTAAAGGATAAGGGCTAACAGGCAAAGTAATATAGCCTATGAAATCCGAAAGTAATCGACTATATCATTGCAAGGTGTTCAATCTGCTCCTATCTACATACTTTCTCTCATTTCAGTTCGCATTTCAAAGCATGGAGTTTTGAATAGTTTCCTTGAAAGGAATTCGTGATCCCAAACGAAGGTAGGAAATCTATAAATTTGTTTCGAAACTTTCGCGGTCTATTTCACCCTTTTTGTGCTTGATTACTTCCTCCAACTAAATATTAAGCTCGCCTGGTTTTTTTATCATTTGTACAGATTAGTGAGCATGAACTAATGATGACCTTTTTCGACACGAATAGTGGCGTTGGGAAATCCTAAGCAATCTGATTAACAGTAGATGGACGTGCGACGAAATCAAAATCGCCGGTATTTGTTACTAAAATTCTTCAACTACAAATAGAAAGGGCCTTATAAGCTAATCGTATGGTCGTATATCGGACTTACAGCTTTCGTCTTTTACGAACTGATCACATGGAATCTCTCATAATCAGTGTCTTAAATGAGATAATAACAATCGCCGTCTGAAAAGACTTTTCGGTGATCGAGGTGCAGAAGAAGATTATTCTCTTTCGCGCACCATAGGCATGCTCGTATTGACCGTTACCAATAACGCCTTGTGCAATCTCAGATGTTATCGCATCTCAGTAGTTTTTCATAACCTGCCTACTTTGGCGGGAGCACCGATGATTGAGGCAATGGCAATGGATTTATACTGACTGGACTATTGTGGTTTCTTGCAGCTTTCAAACCGGATGACCAAAGCCATCCTCTCATCGTTCTCAACACTGGCGGGAGCCAAATCTTGGAAATCAAGTGATTTGGTACTTTATAGCTATTTGGTGGCAGGACAGCGCAGATTTGAGGAATTACCCTATTTTCCCAATAACATACGCAGATGACATACGTTTTCTTAGCTTTCAAAAGTTTTATTTAACCCGTCTTCATAGCGGTTCATTCACTGATCGAATCCCAGTACTTCTGGCATTTAATTCGTTTCTTCGTCTTCTTCTTGAATGTCATATAAAGTACTGGTTGAGCACGTCTTCTTGCAATCTCAAGGATAGCCTGGCCGTGGCGTTCCAAAGGACGCTCGTTGTGCACTGCCGGAAGTGATGAGGTGAAGCTTAGCCCATGTGCGCCACGACCAGCATCACAGACCACGGCACCCCAACTCGAAAGAAATCGATCATTTTCTGAAATCATGTTAGAACTTGTGCAAGGGCTTTACACAGAAATTTCATCAATATCTCAAGAAAAAGACTTTTCCAGCACATGTTTCCACGTTCGTCCACGTTTTCAACGATTTGCTGCGTCAGCGAGTCAACTTCCGCGGCGCATTTTACCGTGCCACAATCAAAGCGTCTGCACTTTTTTCTTCATGACCAGCAAAACATTGTTTTGATAGCAAATTTTTGCTTGAAAATTAGAAAACACACCTCTATGGAATCTTGCTGGAATTCGATTCTTGAGCATTTGTGAGAACACACTGTAGAGGCTTTCACGCTTTGAAATGAACGCTTGTGAAAGAGCACCGAATACCTCAAATCACTTATTCGGCAGTTCTTAACGTTCTTTTTGCACCCTCAGCTTAGTATTCTTATAGTTTTCTATATTTGTAGAGTTAATTTCTATGTCTTTTGCCCGTTATTATTCACCTACCAATTCCGTGTATAGCTACATTTTCAACCTCTTTAAATCACCTGCTCGATACCTTTTTTTATCCAGCAGACGGCACCATTAATTCAGTTTATTTGCTCAATCCGCAACTATTTTAGCTCTCATCCGTCGCTTCGGAAATCCTTGAGTTCATTACTTTTATTGAAATCGCAGGATCCATTGAGCAAGGTAATCATGCATATTTTTTAGCAATAGGCCGCTCCAGAATGTTCACAACGAATTTTGATTCCATGGTCGTGTTACCAAATGAAAAATTGATGTGTAAATTGCGTCCACTGATAGAGAAGATATATATATATATATATAATATATATATATATATCCTTCTTCCATCGTCAGACCTCAGATGAGTCTCAATACTCCGTACGTAACATTCCATCATCTCTAATCGTGGTAACTATAAAATAACAAGAATAGGCAATGAAAAAACGTTTATTTCTTCCTGTCTCCTATAACGCTGCAGGCTGCTACTATAGGACTGAAACAAAATCACACATTTGCGTCATCTTTAAGGAGAGGGTGTCTTAGCGTGCTGATCAAAATCCATCTTGGGGATTATCATACTCCCTGGAAGTTTGCCCAGCTCTTCAGACTAGGCACATAGTCTATATATTATAATCAATTTTGAACTGCCTTCCGTGTACTCTCTAAAAATTTGAGAGGAGTCTGTTGCATCAGTCGACATGGAAAAACAGTCCTTATACACATGAACATATTGGTCCACTGGATTCAATACGCATTGGCAGAGCTGTCTTAATAAGATACAGAGCATACTTTTTAAACTCACATATTGAGCCATTCTTGAGTAATGTCGAAATTGTTTACGACAATTTATTATTGCTAATGCGAGATAATAAATAAGGGGATCGAGCTATGAAAATATAATCTCCCATTTGGACGAGTTGTAATCGGAAATGAAAGTCCGAGCCAATCCCTGTACTGCTCCATGAGCTGCTCTTGAACTGTTTTCATAGCTGAGATCTCTCAGGCAATACATCCAACTGACGATTCTGCCAGTTTGAATAACTCAAACATCTTGCGTGAAAGATTCAATGCTCCTATGTCCATTGAATCCATCTCGGTGCCTGTAAAAATTAATTGCAATATGTAAATGCGCTTTGCACTTTATCTGCCGCTCTTCCCACCTAAAACATAATCTATTCCGTTTTCTATCAGGCTAAATGAATTCAACTAAATATCTTCAGAAAACGGTGACTGCCTACCGCTATGGGGCATGCTTTGCGGGGTTCGAAACAAGAGCAGAGTGCACTTTGCATAGTTAAGATTGGATGTTTCTAAGTGACATAATTATTTCTAAAAAGTTCTGAGGTAAAAAAAGTAATGAACCATGATTCAGGAAGCACAGACATCGTATTGAAAAATGACATTCGTGCAATGAGACATCGTGACTCTAACAATAAATTTTCACATTTGTGAGAAGTAGCATTGTAACTAGTGCGTTCTTTTACATAAGATGCGGCATTACATGAATTTGTGAATAAGCGATTTAGATGTGTATAAGGGGGTTGCAGAATAATAAAGGCAAAGCTGATATCGAACAGCGGAATGAATTGTAAGGAAGTGTACAACGTAAGTAAAATATACAGATACCACGTTAAAATGGAAGTTTGTAAAGGAGATGGCCTAATGATTATCTTCACCTCATCATTTCCTTTGATTCGTATCACAGTTCATTCACTGTGCGGACCCCACTACTTCTAGAAATGAATTCGTCTTCTCACGTTCATGGCTTGATTGAGTATTTATCTCGATAGACGTAGAAGAATACTGGTCGAGCAGATCTTCTTGTGGACTTGGGAATAGTCAGACATCCCTTTCCTCTTTGTCCCCACGCAGTGATTGTAATTAAACATACAATCTTGACAAATCTTTTGTCGAGCGCTTCTTTCATAGGTATTAACAGACTGGATAGAAGTTGAGCAACCAGTCTGTTCACTACAAACTCTCTAGATCCTAGATAAAACAAAGCTCGCCTATCAGCTTTTGCTTCTAAATATTGCTTCTGATTACTACCTTGGTTTTGTGCCCATTTACATGATAATTATTATATTATCTAAATATGAATCAGGACGATGTTATAGAGCAGCGTTGAGTAGCGTTTACATATATGGCCTCTTGATTGATCTCGTCCTTTGGGATAACTAGGATCTGCGTCACTCTGAGATTCGGAATTGCTGTCTAATTTGATAGCTCAGTGGTACCTTTGGATGCGTTGATCATGGGATACCTGACATTAAACGATTAATCTGTCTCATAAGAAAACTCTTACGTGCTAGCTATATTTCTGGGGTATCTTGTCAAACATAGATGCACTTTCAGATGTGTATTTTGATCATCTGTTCTCACCATTTAGAACTTCCAAAACAAACAATGCGGTGAATTGGTTTATGCAGAAGATTTGCACCATCCATAGCTCCGATGATTTGAAGACAAAAAACAAGCAATCTAGTGCTGAACCACATTACATTCAAAGCTTCTAGCTAAATAAAGAACCCTGATAATAGAGTGCCAAGAGTTTGCCAATTTTCAAATTATTGAACAATAACTCCTTATTTAACCGTTCCTTCGACCGAGGTGTGATGCTATACTTATTTATCCGATAATGCTGAACAATATTCCAAACTTTCAAATTCAGACGGGAATCGCACCCGTTTTTCACCTTTTCCGGAGCGTGTGTTAAGCTACTGCACTCTCGAGGATCCTGTTTTGCCACTCTACGATACAAGATATCGATCAGCCAGCAGTCAACTGTAAACGGTTTGACTTCGTAAGCAAATATCGGATTTGAGCTCACTTACACTGACAGATATTGGACATATGTAGAACAAGAATTCTATGATGAAAAACAAGTAGACAAAGAATTTCTGTTGATTACATGTATTTCATATCTGTCAGCATGAGTGTGTTCAAATTTAATATTTGATTAGCAGGCCAATTCATTGACGCTTAGTTGCTGCAAGTTCGATACATTGTATGGCACAAAGAGTCAGCATAGAACCGGAGGGAGTCTCGGCAGTGCATTTGGTTGGCACTTGCCTCCTTCAAGGGCAATATATGGGTTCGACCCCCGCCTGAGGCTCCAGATTTTGCATATCACTTAACACTATTGGATATTTGTATTAGTCATTTTTGCTACTATACTAAAATAAAATAGTTTGATGAAATTAGCAAAAAATAATCTAACGATTGAATATCACTCTGCGGTGAAGATGTGAACAGTTCGCAAAATTCTACTGAATTTACTCTATTCATGAGCGATTTCAATACATTCATGCCTAATTCGTTAATCCACTTTCCATCCTTTTTGAAATACGAGATAACATCAGAAGCATCCATGACTAAAGTTGATGAACAGTCGAAATATTGACAAGCGATCTCACAAGTATTCGCAAAAAAATATTTTAGGCGGTAGAGTGCACCAATAAATCGCTCAGTGCTAGGTTGAAGAAAAATCCTCAACACCCGCAAAAATTTCAGATTTTATGTCTGTTTCACACAGCATCGGCTAATGTAAATCCATGAGAACATCTCCGGAATATTTCCATGAGAAACTTTCACGGCAACTGCAGTTGCATGCATCAAAGTTTGATTGACTCTCAGGAAATCAAATGATGACGATGCACAAAGTGGGCTCCGAGTTTTAATACACTATTGGTGGAAATGACTATTTTCGACAAGAGATGCTGTGAGAGAGATCTGTGGTACCGAAGGTGAAGGAACTGTGAGCCATGAAAATTGGGTCTACCTCGCCGATCGCGATCGGATCAAACGTCGGGTTCGGCCAAGAGCACGTCAAAATCCGTTCGGCAAGAAGGTTATAGTCTGCGTTTGGCGAAACTTTGAAGGAGTGTTACATCTAAAACTTGTTCCGAATAGTCGCGCACTTGAAGCCCAACTCTACTGCAAGCAGCTGGATCGAGCCTCTAATGCTTCAAAAGGAAAGCATTCGAACGCTGTAAATGAGAAAGAGTGGTGTGCAAAATAGGCGTCAGTAGTGTGATGGATAGAGCATGCGCTCCCGGAAAGAGCGAGGTGCGGGTTCTAGTCCTGACGCGAAAGTTTCGCACATCACTCTACATCAACGGGTATGTATTGGAAACATCATACCACCGCTAGAAGCGACTGAATAGAAAAAAAGGTATTCGGACATTGATTTGTCGAAAGCGCGCTGTATTAGCTAGGGAATGGCAAATCCTTATACTTCAGAAAGCCTACGGAGTAGTCTGATGAACTGAAGGAGGGGGAGACAAGATCTTGCCGTACTCAGCCTACAGTCCAAATGCTCCACTGTCCGATTAAGGTCCAATTTCGGCTCAACAGGACATTTCCTGAGTGTACGCCGATTCGAGACATTTAATCAAGTTCAAGTGGCATGTCAGGAGTTCTTTGATTCAAAGCCCAAGGAATGGTATTTCGAGCAGAGCCAGAAGCTCGCAGATCGTTGGTAGAAGGTCGTGGATAATGATGGTCTTTGTTTTAAAGAATGATTATTGCTGTTTTTAACTGAATTTACGTAGAAACTTTGAATTTTCAGCGGATGTTAAGGAACTTTTTCTTCAACTTAGTACATTACTTATTGTTCTTTGGACATTTACATAGAGGGTGTTGTTTGATATAGCATAGTTTTTGACATGCTCCAAATAATACGAATACGTTTTCATAACTGTAAGCGTTTCCGCTGATGCATCCCTTAAAATCGACTGTGTTTGAGAACTGGTTTTTTCAAAAATCAATTTAGCCAGATGATTCAGTGGTAACTTACAATACTTAGCCGGCTCATGCACCTCAGACCACCGCAACCCACTCCATGTTTGTGATCCCGAAGAACATATATCGATAGTGAAACACAGATCGGCCGGTTATATGGTGAGAAGTTCAGACGGCAGATGAACGAAACGAGAATATATCACAATAAACGCGTTGCATTACCTTGTGTTTTCTCACTCTATCTTCTCTTATCGACAGTGGACGATCAGCTCGAATCGTCGGGTTTGAAGAAGACGAAACGCGTCGAAACCTTGGCAGAATAAGACTGTTTATTAAAACCTCGTACTACATACTTGAATGAGAAGGAAAATGTGATTGATTTGTCGCTCCAAGGTTAGAGGAGATCAGCTTCACACTATGCCATTTCATTCGGTGCAAAAGGGTTAATAATAAGCTTTGGCACTAGAGCACTTGACATCAAATTTAATAACCAAAAGGAATCAAAATAGCATGGTTTTGCTAGTGTTCAATTGCGTCTTTTCCTACAAAAATTCTTCTAAAATATGAGTTGCCTATGTTTCCTATAAAATGGGGCTGTCTTAGGAAAAAACTCTCTTGTTCTCAAGCGCGAATGGAGAGCAGGGATAACGCTATTGAAGTTGAACCTAGAAATAATAGAGCTTGGAGGGGTGATACGGATACAGAAAGGACGGATAGAAAGTGGTTTACGATGTTCAAAGCTGGAGAGAACTGTTTGATGGATCAGTCGCGCTTAGGCTGTCCATAGGAAGCTCCACTGATCTTGCACGCACTAGCGTTTTCCCCTGCTCGTCATTCGTGCATCAACAGCAAGCGATTTTGCTCCCACAACAGCTCCACCTTGATGTGAGTGTAAGCAATTTGTATACCAAAATGTTTACAAGAAAATGAGCAATTGGGCGGTGCCAAAATCATGTTGCTTTGATTATATATATATTAAATTGATTTTGTATTTGTTGCTCTACGGTCAAAACTTATGGGACGACTTAATAATACAGAATTTTGCCACATAGATCAACCAGAGAAAACAAGTCTTCAACAGCTCCGTGTAGGCTCAAACAACAGAAATGATGGCTGATGAGCAAGTTCAAATTTGAAGGAAAATTGGTTATCAAATGTTGCAATGGAGCTTCTTCGAGTCAGTAATTACACCGTCATCTGTGACATGTTTTGTCGAATGAAAAACAAATATTATTGTTGGACAATCACTATCAATAGCAATCATCTAGTATAAAAGGAGGAGTGAGGAGGGTGGTTCTCATTCGGACGGTGCTCCTCCTCCGAAGATCCGACTCGAACACGAAGACCACAGCGAGGACGAACGACGGTGAAGCATCGACACGGATCGATCGCCTCGGAAGAAGACGATGCGCGCCAATACGATAGACGAGTAGATTTTTTTCAATATCACCGCATAGGAGCTTCAATCAACAAGCGATATATGATTGAAAATCAATGTGTTGGCACTTTCAACGGGTATAATTGACCAACAAGACATAGCTATTTAGCACATGCTTCATACTCTATGTGAGAAATTGGTCGAATGAAGCTCTCGCTTCGCATTGTGCTCGAGCGAGGAAGGTCAGATTCACGCCCACCAAGCACGAAGATTACATGATGAAAATCACCGATAGTGGGCGCCAACTCGAACTGTCACTACCAAGAAGACGAAACACGTCGAAACGTTGGCTTAGTGAGGTTTTTCTAGGTATTTTACGCTATAGACTCCAATCAACAAGGAATATATGAATAATCAGTAATTTCGTAGTTAAAGAAAAGTCGGCTATCATAATTTTATTGCAGACTCTCGCATGCTAACAAATACACCGACTTCTTTAACATGTTTTATCAAAGAAAGAACAAGTATTATTATTGGACAATCACTTTAAGTATCAACCATCCCATTTATAAAGAGCACCTCATTTAAGCCGGTGTTCTCATCAGAAGAAGATCCGACTTGAACGACAACGAAGGCCACAAAGAGGACAAACGACTGGAAACCATGAAATAAAATCCATCAATACGTTAACCAAGTGAGCTTTTTCTAATATCTTCATCACTCAACAATTAGCATGTGATTGCAAATCAGTGTGTTAACATTTTCTTGGGCTTCAACTGATTGGCAAAAGTAGCTCACTTAGCTGTTTAGCTTACGCTATATCTCGTGCATGAGAAATTTGCAGAGTGAAGTTTTTCACTTGACGTACACTCCAGCGAAGAAGGTGTGGCTCACACGAAACGAAGACGGAGATTTACTATGAAGACAAACGACAGTGAACAGTCGACTCTAACTATCGGCTCCGAAGAAGACTAAACACGTCAAAACGATAGCCAAATAAAGCTTTCTTATCAACCTTGTGTTACATGCTTAATCAAAGAAAATATGATTTATGGTTATGTCGAGACTGAATGAAAATCGGTGCACAAAATCTATATCTCAGTAAGCCATCGCTTAATATGTAACATTTGTGAAACCCAATTTTTGGCCGGTAGCTGAGTTTGATTTTCAGTCATTACGACGGATCGTGGTTAATGTGTGAATAAGATGAGTACGTAAGATACGAAAGCAGAGTCATTTCAAATTACAAAAGCTTCCAAATGCTACGCAGTGTGGTCGATTATTGAATGATGGTAAGGTATGGTAAAACTAATGTACATATATAGCCCCAAAGCGATAAGTCAAAGAGTTCTCCGGAATGCTGTCATTTCAACAATCTCTCGTGCCTCTCAATGCTAAGTTTATTTGTTTTAAATTGCACAAATAGAGTAAGCCAAGTCCTTATCTTATCTTTCTGAGGTGTAGCGATTTTTTTCATAAGAAAAGAACCAATGTGAGATCATGATTACGTCTGAGTCCCCATTATGAGATAAAGCCAAGGCGCATGACAAGATTCATCCATATTTTCACTCGACTGTATCTGAAATCATGCCATTTGAAATGCAATATAATCAGGTAGAATTTTTAGAGCCTCTTAGGGGTCCGATGTGGCATTTCGAGTCGTGTTATGGCGTTACTCGCACGTCTCAGCAGTCAGCCGCGGTATTTCGAATGTAAAAATAAGAAAAAGTTCACAAAAAATTACAAATGAATCAGATTAAAACTATAACGTTATCTTTTATCTTTTCACACTCCCTTCTCTTATATAAAGCGATTATTAACCATCAAAGTTTACAATAGTTCCACAAAAGCCTGAGAAATACTATCAGTCTCGGAGTTTCGGGCTTAGAAAAATAGGAGAAATATTCTTGAAAAATCAGAAATGAATGAGAAGAAAACCATTCTAATCTTTTCGTTTTTTCACCTTTATTTATCAACGTTCACTAACGCTAGTT